GACTGGAGCATAGGGAGATTACTGATGCCATAGACAGGAGTGTCAATTGGTAAAGTCAACAACAGGAGTCACTGTGCACTTACTCCTCATGTAGGATCTCTGTCCTTAATGTGCTGTGCATTGAGATTTAATGCTATAACGAGTACTCAAACAATATATTTCACTTTGTGTTTCTATGGGGGTGCAAACTGTTGAAATCTTTACTTAATGCATACTAAACTGATCTTCTGTAAAAAAAAAAAAAAAAAAAAAGAAATTATCAATTCCCAACTTGACTCTCACTGGGATTAAACATGACAATAGGTCTGATCTGATTTCATCATCATTTAAAAAAAATCATCTATTATTTTTCACTTTATGTTTCTGTGTGGGAGCAAACTGTTGAAATCCTTACTTAATGTATACTAAGCTGATCTTCTGTATATTAAGATAATCAAAAATAAATCTTGATGTGAATGGAAGGGGAGAGGGAGTGGGAAAGGGGAGGGTTGTGGGTGGGAGGGACGGTATGGGGGGGAAGCCATTGTAATCCATAAGTCGTACTTTGGAAATTTATATTCATTAAATAAAAGTTTAAAAAAAAAAAAGAAGAAGTAAAAATTAAAAAAAAAAACTATTGGTTGAACTCTGTAATTAATACACAATTACTCTTAGGTGTTTAATTAATGCTATAACTAGTTATCAAATAGTATTTTACACTTTGTGTTTCTGTGTGGGTGCAAACTGTTGAAATGTTTACTTAATATATGCTAAATTGATCTTCTGTATATAAAGATAATTGAAAATTAATCTTGATGTGAATGGAAGGGGAGAGAGAGTGGGAGAGGGGCGTGTTGTGGGTGGGAGGGAAGTTATGGGGGGGGAAGCTATTGTAATCCATAAGCTGTACTTTGGAAATTTATGTTCATTAAATAAAATAAAATAAAAAAACAGCAAACTTAAAAATGAAAAAAAAAAAAACCCACCCAAACTGCCGAAAGAGATAAATTCATAAGAAGTATCCCCTTTCAATACTGCTAACAATCAGAGGAAACAAACACAAAACTATAAAGCAACAAAGATGAAACAACACTGAACAACAGTTGGGAAACAGGGTGCACTGAGGAGCTAACCCACTTCCACACGGCTCCTGCCCAGCTGCATAACCCAAACACACCCAGCAAGAGCCACCAGACAACCCAGATTACTGGACATTCCACAGTAACTGAATTCTCTGAAAATGTCAAGGTGAGTAACATTTCTTAGAAGGCTGAAAATAAGTCTATATTAAAGGCCACTTATGGGACATCGCAACTAAATACAATGTATGATTCTGGATGAATTCTACAACAAAGTATGTAACTGGATATATGGTCACCATTTGCATTTATACAGATAAATATTTCTATTTATATTAGCAAAATACACGAATAAGCCAATGAGTAACCCAAATAATAGACATGCTGGGTTGATTTAATAGTTTACATAAAATTATACAAGTTTTAGCAGTGAGTATTATTTTAATAGGATACACCACTGCTATCTCTTTAATCATGTAGACAAAACAGTAGAGAGCTTATTTCTAGAATGTGCTTGAAAACAATTATAAATTGATAAACATGAAATTTGGTTCTATAGCACATATTAATAAAAATTTATAGAACTGCAAAGATACACTTCAGCACAAAATCGAAACAACCACTTTACTAAACAGACACAGCCACAGATACCATGTAACACTGAAGAGAAAACGTGTTCAGGGACTGCTGGATAATCCATCTGCCTCATTGAGTAATGATGGCAAAGGGAATGCTTCTTTCAACAGGCATGGAAATCTAGGCCACCAGGGTGGTGCCTGAATTAGCTCACTGACAAGCCCGGACCTCAGTACTACAGCACAAATTAGGTCAACACGTGGCCCTCAGTGGGTTACTTTAACAGCCCGATGTAGTTCACAAGAAGAGCCAAATTTTAAGTAGAAATATTCTGCTTTCCTCGTTTTCAAAAGATATTAGTGTGAAAATTTATTTAAAAAAAAAAAAGCAAGTGCCACTGACATTAATATTGAAATGACGATAAATAGAAATACCAGATTGTCAGGGAGCCTTTACAATAGTGGTTTTGGTCCCCAGCAGGGAACACACCAGCAGTTCACAGAACAGCCAAGAGACCTGATCAAGTTAATGTCTAGCACCCCTATCTGAAGAAAATGTAATCCAGAGGTAATAATCACTGTGCAAATCCTGGCAGCCTGGCCCATTACAGTCTTTTGGAGAATGAACCAGCCAGCGGATGGAAGATATCTCTCCCCACTGCAACCCTGCCTTTCAAATAAAATGTTAAAAAAGAAAGAAAGAAAGAGGGGCTGGCACCGTGGCACAGCAGGTTGAAGTCCCAGCCTGCAGTGCCAGCCTCCCATATGGACACCAGCTCGAGTCCCCACTGCTCCACTTCCCACCCAGCTCCTGCTAATGCACCCGGGAAGGCAGTGGAAGACGGCCCGAGTGCTCGGGCCCCTGCACCCATATGGGAGACCTGGAAAAAGCTCCTGGCTCCTGGCTTTGGATTGGCCCAGCTCTGTCCGTTGCAGCCATTTGGGGAGTGAACCTTTGGATAGACGAACCTCTCTCTGTTTCTCCCTCTCTGTCTGTAACTCTGCCTCTCAAATAAATAAATCTTTAAAACAGAAAAGCTCTCATCTGTAGCTGTCATTATGTCACAAAGATTTTCCAAATGTAGTAAAATGGTCTTTGAAAATTTTTCATAGGGTCATTATTGAACAGAAAGCCTGACTTTGCCTGTCATAAGCCAATTTGCTTAATTAAAAGAATATACAGCCTTTAATTACAGTCATTTAAGACAAAGAGGAAAGAGCTAAGAATAAAGTGAAGAAGCCTATCCTAACAGTATGTACTATCTTTTGAAGGCACAGTGATAAAGCAGTAGAGCAGTGATTCTTACTCATGTAAGGAAAGTATCAGACACAGAATCAGTCACTTTATTAGGCAATGCCCTGGCATAAGAACACTAATCTACAAAGGACTAAATTCTACAAATGGGCAAATAATAAAAGTTGACACTATCAAAATGCTGAGAATGTCACATATATACACATGCATATGTTAATGAGCTGCAAGTGATTATACATGGGCGTTCAGCTTAAGAACTGACCTACATAATTATGTCCTGCCAGTCATTACATGGGCAATGCACTTGCTAAAGGAAACACATGAGGCATGTCCAGATTCATTCATTTAATTATCAAGTATTTTTCAACTGCCTGGACCTCAGGTGGATAACTCGAACTCTTGTGGGTCTGGAGGACAGGTTCTTTGGTCTCACACAATAAAGTGAATGAGGCTCATGCAGAGAGCAAGTTCAGACAGCGAAGATTTATGATATGACAGCAAGAAAAGTCTCCTCGGCCTCAGATAGGAAAAGTGCTTATGGAATCAGCCAGCTTGAAAGCACAGTGCCAACACTGTGGTACAGCGTGTTAAGCCGCCCCTCGAGACACTGGCGTCCCATACCACAGCACCAGTTCTGAGTCCCAGCTGTCCAGCTTCCAATCCAGCTCCTTGCTAATGTGACTAGGAGGCCGGTCGGAGTTGGCCTAAACACTCACCCCGACACCCATGCGGGAGACCAGGACGGACTCCCTAGCTCCTGGCTTTGGCCTGGCGGGGACTTGACTTGTGGCCATTTGAAGAGTGAACCAGAATACAGAAGATCTTTGTGTCTCTCCCTCCCTCTGTTGCTCTGCCTTTCAAATAAACAAACCAATCTGAAAAAACAAAACCAATCTGTCATATGAACAAGCCAGTATAGCTTTCAGCAAATATTTACTGAGACACCAAAAAACTATACTGAGACATCCATCTCCAGATAGAAAGCAGTACTTTATTTTGTCAATTCTTTATTTTCAATAGATTAATGAAACATAAAAGGCACACATTTTCTTGCCACTCAGCAGTATCTCCCTAAAGAAACAAAGGGAACAAGCTAAAATAATTTATAAACTTGTAACTCTATCTATGTGTTAGAATGAAATTTGGTTTTCCATGGAACCATCATTTTGTAGCAATCAGTCAATCAATTTTACTCCCTGTATGAATCCAGGGCATCTTCAAACAATTACAATAACACCCTTTAGAAAGGTTTTGAATTTTTTAATTTAAATTTTATCACTTTAGGTCAGTAATACATTTATACAGTACTCTAGATATATTTTTTTAAAGATTTATTTATTTGAAAGGCAGAGTTACAGAGAGGCAGAGGCAGGAGAGAGAGAGAGACAGAGAGAGAGACACAGGTCTTCCATCCATTGGTTCATTCCTCAGATGGCCGCAACAGCCGGAACTGTGCCAATCCGAAGCCAGGAGCCAGGAGCTTCTTCCGGGTTTCCCACAGAGGACCCCAAGAACCTAGGAATCTTCTACTGCTTTCTCAGGACATAGCAGAGAGCTGGATCCGAAGTGGAGCAGCCAGGACTTGAACTGGCACCCATATGGAATGCTGGCACTGCAGGTGGCAGCTTTACCTGCTCCACCACAGTGCCAGCCTCTAGATTTATTTAAATAAACAAAAGGATATTTATGGGTCAGCTCTGTAGCGTAGTAAGCTAAGCCTCCACCTGCAGCTCCTGTCTGTAACTCTCATTAAATAAATAAATCTTTTTTAAAAGTTTTATTATTATTACTATTTATTTGAGAGAGAGAGTTACAGAGAAGGAGAGACACAGAGAAAGGTCTTCAAATCGTTGGCTCACTTCCCAAATGGGCCACAACGGCCAGAGCTGGGCTGATCTGAAGCCAGGAATCTGGAGCTTCTTCTGGGTCTTTCACGTGGATGCAGGAACCCAAGCACTCGGGCTATCATCTGCTGCTTTTCCAGGACATAGCATAGAGCTGAATCAGAAGAAGAGCAGCCAGTACTGGTTCCCAAATGGGATGCAGGTGCCACAGGCAGAGTCTTAGCCCACTACACCACAGCGCCGGGCCCAATAAATAAACCTTAAAAAAAAAAAAAAAAAAAGTGTATCCAATCTGTAAGTCTGTTTAGTAAGACTTGATAGAACAAGATCAAAGATTTAACACAAATGAATAATTTACAGACTGGGTTCCAACAGTAAAACTGGTACTCCCTTGCATTTCACAATTAAACTAAAAACTATAGTCAGAGTGTGCTGTTCATTTTAAAATGTCCGTGTTTATCATAAAAGTCTTTTACTGTTATCAGTAGAAGGACCTAAATTTTAAGACATTTAGGTGGTCTACTGATTTTTCTTTAATATCCACTTATCTCTGCAGGTTGATGAATAACCTAAATAGAGAACTAAATCACAGGGTGGGTGTTGGCTCAGCAGCTGTCACTGCTCGGGACATCCTCCTCCCACAGCAGAGTGCCTGGATGGAGTCCCGGCTACCGGCTTCCAACCCAGCAGCCTGCTAATGTGCACCCCGGGAAGCGACAGCTGATGGCTCAAGTACTTAGGTCCCTGCCACCCATGTGGGAGACCTGGACTGAGTTCTGAGCTCCTAGCTTTGGCCGTCCAGCCCTGGTTTTTATGGACAGTTGAGTGAACAAGAGAATGGAAGATCGCTCTCTCTTTGTCCATCTTTCTCTCTGTTGCTCTCTATTTCAAATACAAGGAAATCCACTTCTCTAAAAATGTATTAATTTTATTTGAAAGGCCGAGTGAAACAGACTAAAGAGGGATTGAGAGACGGAGAGAGATCTTCCATCCGCTGGTTCACTACACAAAAGGCTGTAATGGCCAGGGCTGCCAAGCTAAAGCCAGGAGCCAGAAGTCCATCTGGGTCCCCACGTGGCTGACAGCGGCCCAAACACTTGAACTACCTTCTGCTCCTTTCCCAGCACTCAACCCAGTGTTCTCATAAAGGCAGCTGGCATCACATGCAGTGGATTCACTCACTTTACCATGAGACCAGCCCAGATCAATTTACAAACAGGGGCTGGTGCTGTGGCACAGTGGGTGAGGCCACCGCCTGCAGTGCCCACATTCCACACGCACACTGGTTCAGGTCCCGGCTCCTCCACTTTGGCTCCAGCTCTCTGCTGTGGCCTGGTAAAGCAGTGGAGGACGGATCAAGTCCTTGGGCCCCTATGCCCATGTCAGAGACATGGAAGAAGCTCCTGGCTTTAGACAGGCCCAACTCCTGCAGTTGTGGCCATTTGGGGAGTGAACACTAGATGAAGACCTCTCTCCCTCTCTCTGCCTCTGCCTCTCTGTAACTCTTTCAAATAAATAAATAAATCTTTAAAAAACAAACAAAAAAAAAGATTGTTTTAAAAAACATTCTTGGGGACTGGCGCGGTGGTGTAGTGGGTAAAGCTGCGGCCTGCAGCGCCGGCATCCCATATGGGCGCCGGTTCGAGACCCAGCTGCTCCACTTTGGATCCAGCTCTCTGCTATGGCCTGGAAAAGCAGTAGAAGACAGTCCAAGTTCTTGGGCCCCTGCACCCATATGGGAGACCTGGAGGAGGCTCCTGACTCCTGGCTTCGGATTGGCACAGCTCTGGCCATTGTGGCCATCTGGGGAGTGAACCAGCAGATGGAAGACCTCTCGCTCTCTCTCTGCCTTTCCTTCTGTGCGTAACTGTGACTTTCAAGTAAAATAAATAAAACTTAAAAAAAAAATTCTTCCATTTACAAGATTAGAGTATAAAGATTAGGCTATAAAATTTTCCACCAGGGCCAGCGCTGTGGCATAGCGGGTAAAGCTGCCGGTTGCAGTGCCAGCATCCTCTATGGGTACCGGTTCAAGTCCCGGCTGCTCTACTTCCGATCTAGCTCTCTGCTATGGCCTGGGAAAGCAATAGAAGATGGCCCAAGTCCTTAGGCCCCTGCACTCGCATTGGAGACCTGAAAGAAGCTCCTGGTTCCTGGCTTTGGATCAGCTCAGCTCCAGCTGTTGCGGCCAATTGGGGAGTGAACCAGTGGACGGAAGACCCCCCCCACACCCCGCCTCTCTTTCTCTCTGTTAATTCTGATTTTCAAATTAATAAATAAACCTTTTTAAAAAAACTTTTCACAAATACTTTTTGTTAATGAATTTCTTGAAAATAAAACAATAATTCACCAGAGATTAAACTATATATTTATGTTCAAAAACCATATTTTTCATCTTCTCCAGGTTTTATAAATACATAAAGAGGAAGAAACAAAGAGAAAGACACTAGGAGAAAGAATAAAATAGGTAAAAAAAATTCTGCTTAAAAATTCTCACTTAATTAGAAAACCTTTTAAAAAGTTGCTAAGAGGTACCCCAAACAAATATAATTGCACATTTCTGTATCCAGCAGAGAAACAAACCTGCAGATCATGTCCTCACTGAATGAAAGTAGTTTTTTAGCATTTTATCTTGCAGTTAAAGTATACAAAGATGCTGATAAAAGCAAAGAAAGTTTTTAAGCATCACAAAAACATGTCTTTTTCAAAGCCTTACAAGCACCACAAAAATATTCATGAACAAAATATTCGTATACTTCCATGTGTAAGTCAGTAGTTTCACAGAGCTTAAACACTAACATTTACATATTAATAATTTTAAGTCTACTTTGGAAATACTTTTGAAAACAACTACTAAATCCTCCTATGTTACAACCTGATATTATATCAGAGTCTACTTAAATTGAAAAAGATCTTAATGAGCCAGAAAATCCAAGCAGCTTGCCTAGGTTCAGTGTTGTTTCTGTAACACTACAGATGAAATCTGGAAATCAACAAAATATGGGGCAGGCACCGTGGCTTAGTGGGTTAGGCTGTCATCTGCGATGCCAGCATCCCATATGGGAGCCAGTTCGTGTCCCAGATGCTCCACCTCAGATCCAGCTCCCCACTAATGACCTGGGAAGAGCAATGGAAGATGGCCAAAGTGTCAGGGCCCCTGCCACCCACGCTGTAGACCCAGTGAAGCTCCTGGCTCCTGGCTTCAGCTTGGCATAGCCCTAGCCACTGTGGCCATTTGTGAAGTGAACCAGCAGATGGTATTTTTCAGTGTGTCTCTTCCCTTTTCACTGTAACTCTAACTTTCAAATAAATAAAAAAAATCTTAAAAAAAAAAAAGTAAACAACGGTTTTACCACCAAATATCATAGGAAATGACTCATTACTATGCAAATATAATCATGGGAATTTACTGAATATACAAAAATAAAGCCCGCCAAGCTAATAGCTTGTGTTACTACACAGCCAATAAAAAAACAACTTTAAAGAGGTGAGCATTTAGCTTCATAGCTAAAACACGGTTTCCACATGGAAGGGTGTGGGTTGGATACCAAGTCCAGTTCCTAAGTCTAGCTTCTTCTGATGTAAATCATGGGACACAGCAGTATTGGCCCAAATAATTGTGTGCCTGCTAACCATCAGGGAGATCTGCACTGAGTTTATGGCTGTTAGCTTCAGCCCAACCCAGTCCCCCAGCCAATGCAGGTGTCAGGGTAGTTAATCCAGAGGATGGGAGCTCATATGAATTACAAAAAAAAAAAAAAAAAAAAAAACCTAAAAATGTAACCACTGTACCTGCACTTTATAACCTCTCCTCCTCCTTCTCAAAAAGGAGAATTATTTTCTAAGTAGAGAACAAACTGACTGCAGAAGGCTGCAAAGCATTCGGCAGAAACAATCACTGAGAGCCGTCTGAGGTCTGGGCAGAGCTATTCCTCTTTCCCACCATGGAAGTTTTGACTTGGGTAATTGGCACCGAGGTCTGTTTTTTCTTACCCACCTGGAGTAATCTCAAGAAATCCTTTGTTCTGTATCTACACATTCTTTAACTATTCCCAGAAATGTCCGCCTTAAAATCCATCGTAGCCTTCTTTTCAGTTATCCTGAAGATTTGTAAACAATCGTATTCGAAAGCAACACCCAGCCTATGAGAAATCCTCCCCGCTTACCTAAAGCCCACCTTACGTTCACTGTGTGATGATAAATGAAAACTTACTGTCATAAAACACATACATTATGACTAAATCTGACTACTCTGCAACACTTTCCAAGATTCATTAAGTCTTCTGGCCTGTGTCTCTCAGGCCCAGGTCACTATATTCTGCCCCGAAAAAACCCAACATTCATCATTTTATGTCACCTGCTTATTTCTATCAACAAGAGTAGCAGAAAACTGGGGGTTGGAGAGTTAGGGGGATGCAGGATGATAGTCCAGAAATCTGGCTTGCCAAAATTTATTCAAGCAGTATCTCTGACCACATAAATTTAACCATTTCATAATTTTTTATATTTGATACATATGAAAAAAGACAAACAAAATGCAACCACTTCAAACTGAAGATGACAAATCTAAAACCATACACACACTGATATATCCTGAAAAATCACACATAGCTTGACAAAGAATATGTATTGCATACAAATACTAAATGAATACCTTGTATCTTTCAGATAAACTGAGCTCCTTAAATCAAGAAGTCTCTAAGAAAATGCCCATAGTTATTTTAGAGGGATAAATTTCACATTTAAACAGTTCCATTTTATAATAAAATACTGACACATTGTTTAAGGATTTAAATATTTTTTATTTTGTAACAGTGCTCTTTTTTCCCAATGAAAGATGAATAAGAAAATCATCTAACTGACAAACCTTATCAATAAATAAAAAGATAACCCATCCAACTATCTCACCATTGATTTTTTTTTAGAACATAAATTTTCCAAATGAGGAGAAGTTCAACAAAATACTGACTGCATAAGTCAGGGGGTGTGCAGAAGCTCAACTTAAGTCACTCAGGGTCTGGTTCCAGCTTTGAAAACAAAAATCCAAGTTGGCTGGATTTTCATAAGGCCGGAATGAAATACTCGAGAGATATTTCGTGAAGCAAACAAGATGGAGAAGAGTCTCTCTCAAAACACTGCACACCGCTGCTGTGGGATTCATCTGCTGGGCCTCGAGAAACTGCAGACGCTTCCGGTTATCCACGCGCACCTGCGCCACGCTCTCTGGGTCTGGGTCTGGGTCTGGGTCTGCAGACCCCTGCCGCGAGGGCCCCGGGGGGCTCCCGAGATTCTCGATGGATGGACACCAGGCTCGTCTCGACGCTCAGGCGCAGGCGGCCCTGCGGGCAGGCCTCCAGCAGCACGCGCTCGCCCACGCCCGCCATCCTCTCCACGATGCGCTTCAGCGTCCTGGCGGCGGCAGGCGCACGCGCACGGCGGGGGCCGGCACACGAGGCGGGGCAGCCCCAGGCCCGCCGCGGGAGCACCCTCACCGCAGGCCGTGCACCAGCTGTGGGTGAGCTGCAGCTTCACGCAGGAGGCGCCCCCGCGCTCCGCACGGCCGCGGACAGGTGCGCCGCCGTCAGCGCCAGGTAGAGCTCGTCGCGCTCCTCGGAGACCCTTCCACGCGGAACTGGGAGAAGGCGCCTGGCCGCACCTCACACCACAGCCTGGGCTCGGGGACTGCCGGGGCCCCGCAGAGCCGAAGCGCAGCCCGTGCGCGCTCACGCGGAGCACCGAGCCCTTGGCTAGCCTCGCTAAGGTGCTGCGGACGCGGATGAAGCGCTCCAGGAAGCCCCTCTCGCGATCTTGGCGCGAAACTTCATGGCGCTGCGATGGCGGCCGCACGCGCAGAGCACGGCGCGTCCGGCCACGCACTTCCGGTCCCCGCTGTAAAGCCTCCGGGCTGCCCCGGGCCCACGCAGGGCCCGCCCCGGGGTTCCGCCTGCCCACGGGCTCGCTCCCGGGCCTGCCCACCCGCGAGCCCCTTCCTGCCTAAGGAAAGGCGTCACGGGTTCCCCTCTGGCCAGACACCCAACAGGCCTTACCCTGCAGAAACTCCTGGTGTTACAACAACGAAGACAGAGCAGCGCTCAGTAACCAGCTCCTTTTCACTCGTTCCGTAGCTACACTGCCCTCTTGGACCGAGACGTCTACGCAGATATGTAGTTATGTGAGTTTTCTAAAACTGCCACATACTAGGCATATTTTGCCACCTCATCTTTACAAATAAAGTATAATACAGACATTTCCTCAATGACAGTGAAACAAATCTACATCAAGCCCATGGCTGCCTGATTTTCTACTATGTGGAAGCATAATCATTTAATGATGCCAAAATTGACATTTAAGTGAGCATTTTTGTACAAAATATTTTTGCACATTTACTAAACTATTTCCTTGCATTAAATTTAAAGAGAAATTGCTTGTAAAGCATGCACACTTAAACCCTGGTATGCACCAGCAACCTGGGCTATGGACACACCTTCCCACCAGCAGCACCGGGTACCCACAATGTTCTGTCTGTAGCAATCTGTTAGGAGTAAAATAACTGTGACCGTGTGCATTCCGTTTTCACACTCTTAGCATGTTTTACGGGTTTGTATTTCTTGATCTCCAGAAAGACCGTTAACCCTGTTATTTCTTGATCTCTAGAAAGACCATTAACCCTGTCCCTCAGGCATCGGCCCCGTTTATCATCTGGCTTTTCACATTGTTTATGGTGCTCTCGGCCCTCAGGAGATACCCAATCTTTTTATTTCAACCTACTGACCTTTTCTTCAGTTCTTCTACAGTCATGCTTTCCATGTGTCAGGTACTCAATGTAATGTTCTTAGTAACTTCATTATTTAACTCATTTGGAATCTAGTTTGGAGAAGTGGCTGGCTAATACACATAATATAATTTCACTGGAGAATCCACTAATTTTTTTAAAGATTTATTTATTTATTTGAAAGTTAAGAGGCACACAGAGAGAAGGAGAGGGAGGGAGAGAGAAAGGGAGAGAGAGAGAAAGTCCTCCATCTGCTGGTTCACTCCCCAACTGGCTGCAACAGCCAGAGCTGCACCGATCTGAAGACAAGAGCTTCCTCCAGGTCTTCCACGTGGGTGCAGGGGCCCAAGGACCTGGGCCATCTTCCTCTGCTTTCCCAGGCCACAGCAGAGAGCTGGATCAGAAGTGGAGCAGCCAGGACATGAACCAGCGCCCATATGGGATGCCGGCACTGCAGGCAGCGGCTTTTTACCCTCTACGCCACAGCACCGGCCCCCCCACTATTTTTTTTTTGCCTGATCTCACTCAACTTCCCTTTCACATCCCACCGATCTAACATCACTCCTCTCCATACTGAATGAGTTGCTCCTCCTCTGAGCCTGTCTCCACCATTCAACACATGAGAGGAAAAGGCTACTTCTTCAATACTTGCTTGGTGCTAGGCACCCAAAGATGCTGAATAAACACTCGCCAACGAATCTCCAACTAGTCTATTTGTTCCTTAAGGACAAGTATATTGGGGCTGGCAGTGTGGTACAGCATGTAAAATCACCACCTGTGGCACCAGCATCCCATATGTATGCTGGTTCGAGTCCCATCTGCTTCACTTCCAATGCAACTCCCTGCTAATGTGCTTGGGGAAGCAACAGAAGATGGCCCAAGTGGCCCCGGCCACCCACAGGGGAGACCTAAAGAAGCTCCTGGCTTTGATCTGGCCCAGTCACAGCCATTGTGGCCATTTGGGGAGTCTTAACCACATTTAGTTTTATCATGAGGCTAGACAGGATTGCAATCCCTGCCTTCTGATTGGTTGCTATCCTAGTCTTCTGATTGGTCATTCTAGTCCTGATTGGTTGCTATCCTTGCCTTCTGATTGCCTGTTTTTTGCCCCTCCCCTGATTGACTGAATCTAGGGCTGCGTTTCAGAAAGGGGCCAATCACTTTGTGTATAAAAAGAGCCAGCACTGGCAAGCTTCTTGGGCAACTCATCCCTTGGAGTCACTTTCTCACTTTCAGTAAATCTTGCTTTGGTCGCAGTCCCTGTCCCTGTGGAAATTATTTTTTGATTGAGTAAGAACCAAGATCACCTTCATCATTCCAACACACTGCCATCCATGTGGGAGGCACAAGTAGGGTTTGGGGCTCCTGGGTTTGGCCTGGTCTGGCACAGCCTAGTCCATTTAAGCCATTTGGGGGGTGAACCAACAGATGTAAGCTCTCCCTCTCTCTTTGTGTTTTTCCCTCTCTCCCTCTCACTCAAATAAATAAATAAATCTTTTTAAAAATATTCATCTTTTTAATTTGAGTAGTCACAGAATGATGCCACAACTTACCTGGCAGCACAATATTTTAAGAAAAGCTCTGTTCTGGGGCCTACTCTGTGGCATAGTGGGTAAAGCCACCGCCTGTGGTGCCAGCATCCCATCTGACTGGTTTGAGTCCCAGTTGCTCAACTTCCAATCCAGTTCCTTGTTAATGCACCTGGGAAATCAGCAGAAGATGGCCAAATGTTTGGGCCCCTGCAGCCACATAGGAGACCCAGAAGAAACTCCGGGCTCCTGGCTTCAGACCAGCCCAACTCCAGCTGTTGAGGCCATTTGGGAAGTGAACCAGCGGACAGAAAATCTCTCTCTGTAACTCTGCTTTTCAAATAAAAAATAAATAAATCTTAAAAAAAAAAGAGAAAATGTTCTGTTGTATAAATCAAAAATAAGGTAATTATTACAACTACAGAGTTGGAGGAAAGATACTTTCATCATATTTTTATTTCTTATTTATCATATCCAATTTTAGGAGTAGATTCCTCCCTTCTAGGAGCCACAGAATCTACTAAGTTCATTGTGCTATATTCTAAACGTAAAGACGGTGGCTGTAAGTCTTCTATGCCAACACTGCATCGTGCTCTTTGTCTCTAGGATTTGGCAATGACTGGGTTCTGAGTGCTGGTCATGATGCCAGTATGGGCAGGAGGTGGGACAGAAGGAGCCTAAGAAACTCTTCATTTATTCCTTCTTTAACACTGCCTTTCTTGATACAAGTCTGATTTTCTGACCTCTATCAATTCCCTTCTCTCTAAAGAATTTAACATTTAAGGCAATCTATGGGCAATTAATTCCCTCAATTTTGTCTGAGAAAGACTTTGTTTTTCCTTCGCCTTTCAAAGATAATTTCATGCATGTGGAATTCTATGCTGGTGGACTTTTAACTTATTTGCCTGTTTCTGAAGAGACGTCTGATGAAATTTTCATCCTTGTCACTCTTTAAGTGAGGTCTTCCCCATCCCACTCCCCCATGCCCCAGCTCCTTTCTACTTCTTTTTCTCTTAAATTTTTCTGCAGTATAAATACTATATGCCTAAGTATAGTTTCTGTTTATTGTTGTTGTTGTTTTCACATTTGCCTGATGCTGTGCTCTTCCCAGATCTGTGGTTTGGTGTCTATCATTTAAGTCTAGAAAACTTTCAGCCATTATTACATCAAATATTTCATCTGTTCCTTTCTCTCTTCTCCTCCTGACGTTCCATTATGTATGTACATTTTTGTGGTTGTCCACAACTCCTGGATATCTCACCCTGCTTTCTTCAGTCTTCTCTTTCCATTTGAAGTTACCATTGCCATTTCTAATTCGCTGATTCCTTCCTCAGTTATGCCCTGTCTACTGACGAGCCTGTCAAAAGCATTCTTCATTTCTGTCAGTTCTTCTTTATTTCTGTAAGTCTCCATGTCTTTGATGATAAAGCTCATCTGTTGCATGTTGCCTTTGGTACACAATCATAATTGTTTCAAAGCCTTGGTTTGATAATTCTAACAACCCCAAGCTCCCTGTGCTCCTCCTCCTCCAAGGCTGGGGGTTCTCCCTGGCCGCAGCAGTCACAGTGTGGACACGCCTGTGCTTTGTGTGAGGATGGTCTGTGCACTCCAAGACGCTAAACACATGAACACCATACACACACCCAACTGTGCTGCTCAAACATGTCCTCATCAACCCCAAACGCCCCTGGAGAAGGAAGAAGGGTCATCTCCCAGAGAAAGCGCCTGCCCCCAGGAACAGATGCCCCAGAGATCTGCGTGTCAGACTGAGTCGCCACTTCCAGGGCATCCCACGGGCAAGAACGAGAATGAGGCCCAGAATCCGGCAAATTCCAGGGAGGATTCCCTTGCCCTCAAACTCCCAGCTTCACCACCATAACCTACCTTGGCATCATGTCCTATATGCTCACCTCTGACAGAGGAAGAAACCACCTCCCTAGTGACAGATGCCATGTGCCCAGACTCCAACCCTTACAAAGCCGTCTGTTTTCTGATCCCTACCTAAAAGAAGCACCAGCAGACTCCAAGAAGGCTTCTAGGTGTGAAGCTGAAAACAAACCCCTCTAACAGAAAGGCAGGACACAGTCTGTTATCTGTCTCCTTCAGCCTAACGTGTCCGTGCCTGATCTTTATCAAAGGGAATTTGCTGAATTGAGGGTGTGACACAGTTGGCCCTACAAGGTTCTAATACCAGACTCAAGAAGTCATTTGCTTCTATTGCAGATAAAACCTCGTTGGCCAGCATTGTCCAGAGGGCTCTGTTTAGGGGAATTCCAGGTCTGGGGCAGAAGGTAACCACCACGTGTGTGTAACACATTCCCCACTCTCCAAGATCCACTGAAGTCCCACATCATCAACCAAAGGTAGGTCACGAGCATCACTGACCAATCAGGAACCTGGGCAGGAGCTGACCACGCACCTCCGCCCTGATTTCCACCTATAAGAACCCTCGCCCCTAACTCCTTGTGATGGGAATGAAGCAATAGCTGCCTGGCTCTTTGCTCTGTGCTTTGCAATAAATCCCTACTGTCTTCCACCACCTCAATGTCAGTGATTGGCTCTCTGCGTGTTGGGCGAGTGCACCTGGGCTAGGGGTTCTCACAGCAACACCTCCAATTAGTTCAGGGTGTTGTACAGTAACAAAGCTTGCCATTCTGACGTCTGTATTAGCCTTCTAGGTTCCAGACAGGTGTGGCAACCTAACAATGTATATACAAATGCTGGTAAGAACGGCTTCCTGCAGCTCGCCATAGTGCAAAATGGGAAACTGAAGAGCTATCACTGCTTTGAATCAAGTTTTATATTACTGTACCAGGTTTAAAGAATAACAGAACTAACAAACTCTGAGTTACAACTTAAGCAAAAATGTCAAAGCCACATCCAGTGAGCAACATTTGAATCACTATTAACTAAGTAGATAATTCAAGGATCAGAATGAGTTTTTTAAAGTGAGAATAATTATAGAACAAGTGGTTCCAATAAGTGATAAGGATTGCTGACATGATTACTACCTTTCCCTCAATAATTCTGTTAAAAATATATAATTTGTTTAGCTTTGGAAGTGACATTTATTTATTCTTGTAGCTAGCTAGCATTTTGGCCATGTTTCCTCAGAGGGTTCACATATCCTGTTAAAAGAAAAAAATTACCAGCTGGCGCCGCGGCTCACTAGACTAATCCTCCGCCTGCAGCGCCAGCACACCGGATTCTAGTTCCGGTCGGGACGCCGGATTCTGTCCCGGTTGCTCCTCTTCTTGTCCAGCTCTCTGCTGTGGCCCGGGAGTGCAGTGGAGGATGGCCCAGGTGCTTGGGCCCTGCACCCCATGGGAGACCAGGAGAAGCACCTGGCTCCTGCCTTCGGATCAGCGCAGTGCGCTGGCCGCAGCAGCCATGGCCAAGTGAACCAACGGAAAAAGGAAGACCTTCCTCTCTGTCTCTCTCTCTCACTGTCCACTCTATCAAAAAAAAAAAAAAAAAAAAAAGAAAAAAGAAAAAATTACCTTGTACAAAATGCGACTGCAAACATTTCTCAAAGCCTAACAACAAAAATGAGTCTGTCCATTGTGACGAGAAAGCAAATCTGCGAAATGTAATATAACTGGCAGAAGCAATTAGCTCACACACGCTTTCCCCACAATCTTCCCTAGGTCACATTTCTGCCTTTTCTCATTGGTAGTAACAATCACTGCTCTGCCTGATGTTTGCGCCACTCCGCTACAAACTCCTGAGGTTGTGGTACAAAGTCTGGGCTCCTGTGTGAATCATGCGTTCAGGGTGTTTTTGGTTGTTTGCTTTATGATGTTGTGACTTCCTGAAGCCTGGCTGAGCAGGAAGGAACTGGCCCTCTAAGGGTCTTCTCAGAGCAGAGCACTGGCCAGGGAGCACACCTTTGATATGCAAACCAGCTGTTCAGAGTCCCCTCTCTTTAATCAGGCTCCAAGTCCCAGACACCCTCTCCTCAGCCAAGTAAGGAGCATCCCCACAGCCTGCAGCCCTGCAAAATGATCAGAGTTCCAATCCTAAACTTGGCCAGCTCGCCTATGCCGCCATGCCCATTCCTTGCCTTCCTGTGAAAATCACACTAAAGGCTCTGGCCCAAGATTTCTCCCTGGTCGCCTGACCTACCCCAGCGGGGCTGAACGTGCCTCTCCTGCTGGGAGCTGTAACACACTGTCCTCCACCAGCAACAGCTGGCATTTTCCCGGTCCGTCCTTTTCTGGGCCACAGAGAAAGTCAATCCCAATCCTCTTTTCACAAAAAAAAAAAAAAAAAAAAAAAGTCTTGAGGAGAGGCAGAGAAAGTAAAGGATATTAAGGATATTTAGATTTAGAAACTCTTGGGCACTGCAGGGGCTCTGCCCACAGCAGCAGTGTTGTTGGATTACTTCATCATCTCCCCAAGGCAGGTGAGTGACACAGACAGCAGGATCCAGCATGGCTGAACCCTGACTCTTCAGAGTCCGTGAGACCAGTGTTCTCCACTCAGAGTGAGAGGGCCTCACGCCACCTGCTGCTTCCAAACTCTCCAACTCCACAGAGTCCCTGACAAGTGCAGTTTCCACACTACACTGTATGGGGACCTGGGCTCCTTACACAGTGGCTTGAGTTTTTCATGCACACTACACAGGTTAGCATCTGAGGTATGTACTTAGCAACAAATATGGTTCTTGTTAAAACCTATGGGGCCACGGAGGTCTGACAGAACCCATTAGGTCACTGGGCCTGAACCCCCAGGCCTTATGATACGGGGTGCAGATAATTTAAAGGCTAGTGGAACGCTGACTGCTCAGGAAAGCCCTGCACCTGCGACATTCTGAACCCCTACTTCAGTGCACTGACAACGTCACCAAAGAGCCTTAACAGGAACCATGCGGCACTCTGTACGTCTCCCAATAAGCTACTTAAGAAGGGACTGCCTGGCTTCAAACCCCTGCCCTCTGTTCTGGTAGGTTCAACTCCTACTCTCTTTACCTCTTCCCCATTTCTGCCCCCCACTAAAATAAAGTCTTTTCTACTTTAATTGGTTTTCTTGCCTTCTTTGAATACCAAAATCCTAAAACTTAACAGCTCTAGCCTTAATACTTAAGATTTTTCAATACAGAATAAGAAACAATACAGCAGGCGCTGCGGCTCAACAGGCTAATCCTCCACCTAGCGGCGCCGGCACACCGGGTTCTAGTCCCAGTCGGGGCGCCGGATTCTGTTCCGGTTGCCCCCTTCCAGGCCAGCTCTCTGCTGTGGCCTGGGAAGGCAGTGGAGGATGGCCCAAGTGCTTGGGCCCTGCACCCCATGGGAGACCAGGAGAAGCACCTGGCTCCTGCCTTCGGATCAGCACGGTGCGTCGGCCGCAACGCACCGGCCGTGGCGGCCATTGGAGGGTGAACCAACGGCAAAAGGAAGACTTTTCTCTCTGTCTCTCTCTCTCACTGTCCACCCTGTCAAAAAAGAAAAAAAAGAAAAAAGAAACAATACAAATAATGTCATATTGTAACTAACCTTTAATCAACAGCTAATGTATCTTACTTTTTTTAAATGAGTGTACCCACATCATTAATGTCAGATTCCTTCTAAAGCTAGCTTTTGTATTCAATTATTATTTTTTATTTATTTGACAGAGTTAGACAGTGAGAGAGACAGAGACAAAGGTCTTCCTTCCGTTGGTTCACCCCCCCAAATGGCCGCTACAGCCGGAGCTACGCCGATCCGAAGCCAGGAGCCAGGTGCTTATCCTGGTCTCCCACGTGGGTGCAGGGCCCAAGCACTTGGGCCATCCTCCACTGCCCTCCCGGGCCACAGCGGAGAGCTGGACTGGAAGAGGAGCAACCGGCCGGGACTAGAACATGGAGCCCATATGGGCACCTCAGGCAGAGGATTAACCAAGTGAGCCACGGCGCCAGTCCCATATCTTACATGTTAACAATAACAGCACTGCTATATCTACCGAGCACTTATAATACGCGAGCCCTTTTCCATGTTCTTTGCAGGCAGTGACTTTTAATCCCCGTAACTGCTGTATGAGGATGGCCCATGAAGTACTTTTCCCAGTGCCCCAGAACCAACCACCAGCAGAGCAGGATTCCCACCCAATCTGGCTCCAGAGGCTATCCTGTGCACGCACACGCGCACACACACACACACACACACCATGCTGTCCTTTTTTGGGAGGGGCTGGCAGTGTTATAGAGAGAGGGGGAGAGAGAGAGGTCTTCCATCTGCTGGTTCACTCCCCAAATGGCTCCTACTGGCCAGAGCTGGGCCCGTCCAAAGTCAGGAGCCAGGAGCTTCTTCAGGGTCTCCCACATGGGTGCAGAGGCCTGAGCACTTGGGCCGTCTTCCACTGCTTTCCCAGGTGTATCAGCAGGGATCTGGGTCAGAAGTGGAGCAGCCAGCACAGGTAGTGGCTTTTCGCGCTACACACAGCATGGGCCCCTCATGATGTCCTCAGAGGGAGGGGCACCAGAGACGTGTCCCAGAGGCGCTTCCCTCCCTGACCGCTTTTCAGTGTGACCACGCACTACGGACACCGCCGACAGTTGGAAGCAGTACAAGGAAAACTGAATGATGTGTGGTCAAGAGCACTGCTGTCAATACACCACACTTCTGTCAGACAAGCCCACTTGTCACGCTACTTTAAGACACAAAACGGGTAGAAAAGACACAGGTAGGAGTTAGAGGACATAAAATCACATGCTCACCACAGGATTTATTCAGGTCTCTTTAATCGTATCATCTGTCTCAGATTAAGTAGAAGTAACAACAGCTAACTTCACACGTACCGAAGATGCCCAACACAAAAAGTAATATAAAACTCCGACACCAACTCTAGGTGCCTGTGGGCTAGGTGGACCAGAGACTGCTGCCACACCGCAGACTAGGTGGGGACGGCCTTACAGTGTTTCCAGCAAGAAAACATTTTAAGAGAGAATGGAGAGAGATTAGGGAATTCGCCTAAGAAGCAAGGCAGAGAGGGCTGGACACAGTACAGCAACCATTAGCTGCCAGGAGCCAGGCTGGACGGTGGTCTCAGCAACAAACAGGGAATCTCCTTCTTTAGAGCCACAACACCACCTGCCGAAACAAGAGGGGAAATCCCAGACACTGCCCAGCAGACACAGTCCCGACAACGGAAGGGCACGCCCTACTCCATCCCAAACAAACAACTGCTTTGTTTCCTAGCATATTAGCTCCAATCCCAAAAATGGCTCAGTAACAATCCACAGCTTCATTTTCTCTCTTATTTACTTCAAATGTCAATAAAAAATTCTTGGTTATTTGAAAAGTCAAATACAAATATAATTTTAATTAAACCAAAGAAACCTAGAAGCACCTTCAGCAAAGGTACATCATAGCGGTCAGGGTGGAAGGTCTACGTGGGACTGGGTGGAAGGATGACCCCTGTGGCCAGCGAACCCATGTAGGGCTCCCCTACCCCACGGTACAAACCCTTCCACCACAGCAACTTGGCAAAATGTGTCAGCCCCTAGGACTGTTTCTACACGACTTGAAGCACACACTTGAAAGGTGACAGTGACCGAAACAGTCCAAACCATAAGGATAGGCAGTAGGCCTGAAGATTCCCATAACTGGAAAAATGTTTTCAACCTGAAGGAAACAACACAGAAACAACTAGAAAATGAGTTGTGTAAAATGTAATGATCTAGGCAAGGAAATACTGTGCAGCCAGTGAAACAGGAAACATACAGAAGACCGAGAGAATATTTAAAACAAATTAATAAAAAAGACATGAATTTAGATAGACAGTCCAATATACTATATGTACAAAGTTCCTAGAAGGAAGTATGCTAGAATGCTAGGTGTTTTAGTAACAAGAATGAGATTATCAGAGATTTAACAGCTCGTCCAAAGTCACAGCTAATCAGTAGCAACACTGGGATTCAGAACCAGGCCTAGATACACACTACCCTGAATCTCCTGGTGAGATTTCTTTTTGATTTCTATTATGGAAATCTTAAGCATACACAAAAGAAAATCAGAGGGAACCCCCACTGTCCCATCACTTGTCCTCAATATTTTGTCTCCTGTTTGAAACACTCCTCCTCAACACTTTTATAGTTTCTGAGGGAGAACTTTAAAGAAACCCCAGACATCACATCATTTCATGTACAAATATTTTAGCTTGTATCTCTACAAGGCTCTGTATCTAGCCCAAGTTCAATTTTTGCACATTGTCTCAAAAATTGTGACACAGCTAATGTGTGAAAATCAGGATCCAACCAATGCTCTGATTTAAAAGAACAATAGAACAAAACCTACCTTTATACAGGCTTGTAAGCTTGCACTACTACAGAGAAAAGGTGGGAAAGATGCAAGAGGGTTTCAACATTATCAGCAAAATAAAATTGTGGAAAAGGAAGGGTCAGGAGAATTGAGGTTTTAAATGCAACTGCTACACTGCTTTTTCCTGCAGCAATGAGAGTGTACATAACTCAGAAACACAAGCAGGCCTTAGACTGCACTGTGGGGAGCAGTCCTGCTGGATGTGGGTCAAGGCCATAGACAGCTTCCTTGGGGACACTGACCACAGGACACTGCTGCTTGGCAGTTCTGCCTGATAGGATTTTGGGGTAGACCTGCTTATCTCTTCTGCAAGTCGGTTATCTTGAGAGAGTGGGAGCTGTCACACAGGAGTGCTGGGTTGCATGTCTGGATCCTGCTCTTGACTCTGAGAGGCAGTGGTGAGGGTTCAAGTAATTGGGTTTCTGCTATTCACACCGGAGACCCACACTACATTCCAAACTCCTGGCTCAGAACACTTGGGGAGTGACCCAGTGGATGGGAGCACTCTCTCGTTTCTCTCTCTCCCCCTCTTTTCCTCCCTAAAATAAAGTGATTATAGCAAATAACAATATCCCCCACCCCAACAGTAAAGGTAGGAAGTAAACAAAAAAGATGACAGCATGGGCTCTCTGCAAAGGCTCTGCCTGCAGCTCCTCAACCACACCGCTCAGCCTCGGGAAGCTCCAGCTCTCAGAAGCCACGAGATGGCAGCTGGACTTCTATTTCAGGTGCCACGTCTTGATTCTGTACTGTGTCCCAGGCACCATTTTTGAAACTGATAAATCTGTGGTACAACAGGAACCACCAAAAACTAGTCTAGAAACTGACAATCTATTAATGACATCCTAAAAGGTTACTCAACTTGTCGCAGCACCTGGATCCTCAATACAGGTCACGCCACAGAAAATATTTAAATGAATACAAATTAACCAGCGATCTGAGCAGAACAAATCCTCCTCTATCGGTCAGTCAGTTGGGCTGACGACAGGTTGATCTTTAACCGGAAGGCCCTCAAAACCAGAGATTCTCATTTGTAGGTCTAGATCTTTGATGTGCCTTGCCTCTCTCTCAAACTCTTTAAATGTTTCAAATGAATTTTACCCTCCTCATAAATCTTGATATTATAAAAACTTATTTTTCAAACATCCTATAAAAACAAGGCCAAAATAGTTACGTTTGATTTTCTGATTCAACAAGTCCACATGAAAAAGAGAAAAGCACAATACTAGGAAAATACAAAAAGATTTAAACTTTTCAACTCTAAAAATGAAAAGTCAGATAAATACTAACATTTTTCTTAAAATGTAAAGAACTTATCTTCAATAGAAATGTATTTGGAAATACTGTTTTATAAATGTTGCCAAAGCACTGTGTTCTACAAGTACTCGTTTTCCTGCCTTTGCAAGAGTCAACTGTTCTTGAACATAATCCCCACTGTGGTCACCACAGAGCAGACGTCCAGTCCTTTTCCCGCTCGCTGTCCTGTCCTGGAGGATTCAGCCCAATACAAGCTCAGGTCGGGATGGAAGGACCCAGCCCAGGCAGGGTCCAAGTGCTTGGAGTTCTGTTCCAGGAAGGACCCAGCCCAGGCAGGGTCCAAGTGCTTGGAGTTCCAACTGTAAACGACGGATCCGTGTTGGTGAAGCTCAAGAAAGCTTCCGAGCAGACACCTAAATGACTGACTGCTGCAGGAAAGACACAGGGGGCACTTCTCCCAGATGCAAGCTGAGAGCATTTCACAGTTCCTGTTAAATAGTCCCAAGTCTGCAAAACACAAGAATGCCTGAAAAAGCTCACAGAGAAAGTGAAACTGAAAAAGAAGACTATTTGAAGGGAAGGTGTTAGGCATGGGGACTTAAGTCGCCCCTAGGACACTCACAGCCCTATCTAAGTGACTGCTCCAGTCCCAGCTCCTCAGCTTCCAATCCCATTCCCCAATGCTTGTCCTCCTCCGCAGGAGCACACCACGGCTCACGCTCCAGGCTCCTGACTTGACCCAGCCCAGCCCTGGTGTCGTAGGCACTGGAAGTAAACCAGAAGATGGGAGGTCTCACCATGTTTCTCTGCCTTTAATTAAAAAATAATCTTTAAAATACTTTTATTTTGGTTCAAAAATTGTGAAACCCAGGCATAGTTTTCCCCACAAACTTTTTAAAGAGTTCTCATACAAATTCATTTGTATTTACAATTACTTGAACATAATCATCATCTATCAATAATTTTTTCTACATAATTCTTAGGTGAGAGTCATAAAATAAGCTAATGTGATGCGCATATTTTGTCCTCCTAGTCACAAAAGACCACAAGGTGCATGTATGAATCTACTTACAGGAAAGTTCAGACACAGAGCACAGTAGCGGCTGGGTTTTCTCCCGGAGTTAGAGAGAGGTAAGGGCTGCGGAGCGCTGCGAATACACAGACCCTGCTTCAGAACTCCTGAGAGCACCACAAACACGGAACCCAAATAATAACAGAAAAGGACACCCAGGGTGACACGTTCAATAAAAGCTAAGTGCCCAACACTCCTGAGTCTCTGCAGTCTTCCAGTACCAGATCTGACGAGGGTACAGGGAACCATGGGGGTTAGGAAAGGGGTGCCAGGGCATGGGAGAAGGCTTTGCCTCCTGCGGTTGCAGCATCAGCTCCTGTACTGAAACTCGGGGTTAAGAAGAGCACCCAAAAAACAGCACAACAGGGAGCCACACACTCGCCGCCCCCAAGGTGTGTTTAACAGGGAATCGCTAACACCCACTCCACTCCGCCAGGACCGCCAGGGAGACAGGGAAGTGAAGAAGTTAAACAATGCAAAGTCCTAAGTGATATTAACAGTCTAGATGTGTTTATTCAAATAACAAAATATTTGATCACCTCCACAAAAATGTTCAGGAATGAAAGAGGAACAAAATCAAGAAAACATTACTAAGCTATTCATAATGAAAGAATTAGCGAAAAGCATACTGTCCTAAATGTATACTATGACATAAAAACAAAGTTTCTTTTGTCTCAACTTGTCAACTCTTTACCATGAACTGAAGAGCTCACTGCTGACAAACACAATAACTACAGTACGCTGGCCTGGCGTGCCAGTGTCAATGCAGCTCTTCCAAAAAGGTCAGGAATCAACTGTCAGTTTAAATTGGTTAATTTTATTAAAATTGCTAAACATGACAGATGTCACCTAACTTCCAGATTCTTTTACATGAGCTGAGTTGGATTAATGTGATCCAAATTTTGGGTAACAGCTTTCCTAGTTTCTAAAAATACATCAACTTTGTCGTTTATCTTATAATTCCTGCTTTACTTCTCTAGCCCTATCTCAAAAGAAATTTCTTCAAGGCCATATATCTTGACATAGTGAAAGCCAAACAAGCACTGCACTCAGCAGTGCCATCAACATTTCTGACCACGAGGGACCAAGCAGACAGACGCTACGGAAAGCGCCTCCCGGGAGGCGGCCGCCATGCGGTTCAGGCTGCGCCCCAGCTGTGAGGGATTGAAGCTGGAGCTGCGGAATCAAGCTTAGGGGAAACTCTGGGCACAATTCCGGCATCCGAAATAAATTAAAGTAAACAGTATTGCTCTCTCATCCACCCTGTTCGCAGCCTCTCGGCGGAGCTGGAGACCACACACTCAGACCACACAGCCAGCTGAGCTCACTCGCACGCAACATCCACAAGCTGTCACTCGACAGGGGGAGGGAGCAGGATGAGGGGGAGGGGCAGCAGGGGGAGGGGAGGCAGGCGACTGTGCGTACAGCTGGAGAGAGCCCTGTGCCTCCCAAAGCCGGGAGGAGGCGGAATCCATAAACCTCCCTGGGAAAACAAGCTGGTCATGGCCTTGTGTAGTTTTGACCTGGACTCCCCCATACCAATTTAGTAGCTGATGAAGGATTAACAAAGCATCCATTTAACATCAATTAACCTCCTATCCATCACAGGGAAAAGGAGAAAATTAGTATTGTAAAAAGCATTTCACTAAAATAAAGACAAAAGGCCACCTTTTCCTATAATTTATAATGTGCACTTAAATGCCGGATTTTCTTTACACATTTATCTTCGTTTTAACTCCTCTGCCTCTTTTTCTTTAACAGAGCATGAGGGGATGAATTTAAAGTGTTTGGATAACAAGGATCAGAAAATTTTTAATTTTCACATATTTCATTGTGGCACAATCTTAAAAATATTTACTGATGGAATAAAAGACAATAAATTGTTTTATTTTTATAGGCCTTCAGTCTAAAAATATATTTTAAAAATTAACTAATAGCAATATTAAGAAAATCAGAAAAAAGAAACCATAACTAAAAAGGAACTTTAGAATCATAAAGGCAGTAATTTTATTGTTAGGAATAAAGAGTTTCACTGATTTCAAAAGAAATCTGAACCAAGCCCTGAAGGCTCAGTTCAACTAGAGGGAGAAAGCCAGGAATCAGAAAGATACTGAGTTCTATTTCGCTGAAGAATTGGAAAACCTTTCCTAAACAGGCCAAGAGAGGTCTCATTATGTTAAAGCTAACAGATCAGGCCACATAAAAGTGACTATCTTCCCCCCAAATCACCCAAAAAGCCAGTCCCAAACAGGCACTCCTCCACCATGCTATTCCAACCAGCAGTGTCAGCATCACCAAGTCTAACCCAAGCACAGCTCCGCTCAGCCACAGGAGAAGGTGAGCCGTACGTAGCCCTCCGTGTGCACACCCGTGTCTAACAAGGGCCATCTTGGATCCAGAGGACCCCAGGAAGTCTGGCTGCAGTAACTTTCAAGAGTACAGTTACACTCAGCCAGGCTCTGAAGCCATCATGGCAGAACAAAACTACTGCATTCACAACATCTTCCCTCAGACTTGCCCAAACTACCCTAGAATAGACTTGCCCCCAGTAGGTGGGCTGCGCCCAAAGGAACCTCCCAGATATACTGAGCAGAGGGTTCAAGGGGATGGTTTCCGTCCTACAGTTTTCTGTAAACTCAAAGTCAAGTTACATCTGCCCTGCCACAAATTGTAGCATCTAAGAACACAGGTGGGGCAGGTCTCAGAGACACAGTCACGAACTCTAGTCGAGATTTCCAAGTTAATCATCTTTCTCTTTCTGCTCCATCTCAACGTCATGGTTAACAAAAGTATAATCATGCATAAACCTGAGAGGGCCCAGAGGTGCAAACTGCACAGGGTCAGGGCCTGATAAGACGACCCAGGGTCTCCGAAGGGAACAGAACCGGACAGATGAGAGACAACACACCACTGCTGGCCTGCCCTCTCTTTAGGCCTCTTTTCCTTCTTCACCTCAATACAGAAACGTAATTGAAATATACTCTTCATGGTTTCAGATGAAAGCACAAGGATTTATATTTTAATGCTTTTGGGGGGAAATCTGTAACTCAAGCAAAGTAGCTGATCAATGGCCCTGGATACTGACTTATGAATGGCAGGATGACGGGGGATTTGTGGGGGGGGGGGGGGGGAATCTTGTCTCCTATTGCAATGCTTTAAGGTTTGTGCACGAGGTGAGCAAAATGGGTTACAGAAAAGCTGAAGACACGGCTCTCGGAGCCCCCACAGCACGGATCTGCTGCATGCACACTGGATCACCCAGGTATTCTCTTGAAACAAGACTGGATTCCATTTTAACTGGAAGCATTAGTGAAGTCTGCTTTACTCCCCAGGACTAGAAAGTCTTTTGTCTCAGCAGCAGTGTCTTCCTGCAGGCACAGTCAGAAGCTGTAGGTCTGAAGGTGGCCAGTCCTCTCATTCCGCCACCGGACACTGACGACATCATCAAAAGCCAAGCATACATCGCTGGCGTCCCATGTAGGCGCCAGTTCATGTCCTGGCTGCTCCACTTCCTATCTAGCTCCCCGCTAACGGCCTGGGAAAAGCAGTGAAGATGGCCCAAGTACTACCCACATGGAAGGTCCAGAAGAAGCTCCTGGCTCCTGGCTTTGTCATGGCTCGGCCCTGGTTGTTGTGGCCATTAGGGGACTGAACCAGAAGATGGAAGATCTCTCTCTCTCTCTCTCTAATTCTTTCAAATAAAAAAAAATCTTTAAATAAAAAAGCCAAGCATGCCAATATAAACCCACCTCCAAAAACAAAATGGAAGGAAAAGTTTCACATAAAAGCACAGCATCATCATTCGAAAATCTATTACCAGTTGTACTTAGCACCCCACCACATCCTCTTCATTAGCTCCACTTAGATATGGAAAACATTCATTCCTGTTATTTTAGAAAACGCAATCTTTTCAGGAGAAAAAAATACTGAAGTGGGTTCCTGCCACTCGACCTGCACAAGACTAAGTCATCAAATAAAACGTGTCAGTACCTTTGCTTAGTCCACTGAGAAGATCTGGGACATTTCCAAGAATGGTCAACCAAAACCTCAAAAGGTTAACAGTGCTGCACGGCTATACCTAAGAAAAATACATGGATACAGGCCAACCGGGACTGTGAAATGGAAATTCCCTCAGATTCGCTGAGTCCAAGCAAACAAATATTAAGAATTTGCTATGCCACAGGCCACACACTGGGGAAATGGGAGGAACAAGCTTTGTGACCAGGAGGTCATGAATGTCCTTGACCTTCAGTTCTCTGCTGGGTAGGAAACCGACAGCAGTGGGATAGGTGAGGATTAGCTGAGTATAAACGACTATTCCAAGAGATTTGGCTGGGAAGAAAGGAGAAAAAAATTTAAAGCGGAATGTGAAATCACGGGAGTCTACTGTTTTCTGTTTTGCTTTAGTGTTGCTGTCTCCAACCATGTGTAAATGCCAAAAGGAAGGACTCCTTAGCCAGACGGAGTACAGGACAGAGGCAGGAGTGGATGAGACCCAGAGCCAGGGACGCGCCAGGTCTCGCGTGAATGCAGTCTCTTCCACTGTGACTAGGAGAGAGGAGGTTGCTGTGGCGGAATCAGCCACGCGACTATCCTGACAGCTCTGGTTTATGAAGCAGGTGGCAAGCCATTCACTAGACCTGCAGATGGCATGATGTACGAGAGGGCTGAGAACTGTAAAAAAAAATTCTAGATACAGACGACGAGGAGAACTCCAGAGTGTTCCTTGCTGGCCCAGTTGACACTGCTGACCATGGTTTTACAGGGCACAGATCTAGATCCTGTGATTTCACCCAGCTGGTCCCACCGACCCCGGCCAGCTGTTGCAGAGGTAGAGGCCTGAGAATTTGCCTCAGGACAATGCTGCAATGAAAGTACTGGCCCGAGAGGGGCTGAGACAACGGCACTTCCCGGTGAGCTAACAGAGCAGGTGCGGTGGAGGTGAGAGGAACAACAGGGCCTGACACAGGGAGGCTCACAGCCTGGACCTCCCAGAGCAGGTGTGGAGGAGGTGAGAGAAACAGGAGGGCCTGACACAGGATGGAGGCTCACAGCCTGGACCTCACAGAGTAGGTGTGGAGGAGGTGAGAGAAACAGGAGGGCCTGACACAGGGAGGCTCACAGCCTGGACCTCACAGAGTAGGTGTGGAGGAGGTGAGAGAAACAGGAGGGCCTGACACAGGGAGGCTCACAACCTGGACCTCACAGAGTAGGTGTGGAGGAGGTGAGAGAAACAGGAGGGCCTGACACAGGGAGGCTGACAGCCTGGACTTCCCAGAGCAGGTGTGGAGGAGGTGAGAGGAACAGGAGGGCCTGACACAGGGAGGCTCACAACCTGGACCTCACAGAGTAGGTGTGGAGGAGGTGAGAGAAACAGGAGGGCCTGACACAGGGAGGCTCACAGCCTGGACTTCCCAGAGCAGGTGTGGAGGAGGTGAGAGGAACAGGAGGGCCTGACACAGGGAGGCTCACAGCCTGGACCTCCCAGAGCAGGTGTGGAGGAGGTGAGAGGAACAGGAGGGCCTGACACAGGGAGGCTCACAGTCTGGACCTCCCAGAGCAGGTGTGGAGGAGGTGAGAGAAACAGGAGGGCCTGACACAGGATGGAGGCTCACAGCCTGGACCTCACAGAGTAGGTGTGGAGGAGGTGAGAGGAACAGGAGGGCCTGACACAGGGAGGCTCACAGCCTGGACCTCCCAGAGCAGGTGTGGAGGAGGTGGGAGAAACAAGAGGGCCTGACACAGGGAGGCTGACAGCCTGGACTTCAGCAGTGGCCCAGCCTCAGGCCTGCGCGTTTCAGCCATGCTTCTCTACCTCGAGGAACGCCCCAGCCCTCCCCGTGGCTCTCAGGGGCTCTGCTCGCTCTCTGTCCCTTCCAGGTGTTGTTAGTTTCTCTTTGCACCTCACTACCACTTGTCCACTCCCTAACCTTCTCCACATCTCTGCAGCAGAGCCTATTTTAAAGTTCCCTTATTTGAACCATCTGGCATGAACTGTGATGCCTGCTGGGACCCTGACTTGAACAGACATACATCATGTCACTCACATGGGACTTTCATTAAAATCAAACGAAAGCCAAATACTCTTGGCTTTATATCTTGTTTTATCTGTCAGTAAAATAATGAAAGTTAAATCACATTCTATTCAAAATCACAAAATTTTAAAAGTGGACAAGGCCTTTAAAAATTCATCCAAGCTTGGAGAAGAAACACAGGGACAGGCTTGCCGGAAGCAGCACGAGCGGCAGCAGCCAAGGACGCCCTTCAACGCGGCACCCTTGTCGCTGCGTGCTCACTACATATGCCACGCACTGCGCCGCTGACACCATCAACTACAGCCCGGGCTCCACTAGTCCAGCCAGCAGTGTACTTTTCATCACCAGCACCAAGATCTACTCTAAGTGGAAAACAGTCAAGCAGAAGGAATTGCTACACCCAAAACCAAAAATAAAGTGAATGGTCCAACCCAGTCCTAAATGCTACCAACAGTATTAAGTTCAAGAATGTTCCAGAAACATCTGAGTTGGCCTAATTTAAAAAAAAAAAAAAGAAAGAAAGAAACCTAACTAACAAATCAGTCCCAAGTTGCCCTGCCTGACCTTCAAGGCACTCACATGCACCAGCCCCTGGCCTCTGCTCCTGGTGTGCAGCCCAGCTGTTCACACACCTTCCCCCATCACGGTCCTTCCTCCTCGAAGCCTTCCCGATCCCTCTCACCACAACACAGCCTTCCTTCCTCTGAACTCCAGCTGTACTACACTCAGTACTACAAAGCTAAGTTCTCGGCTTAAAAAGAAAAAAAAAGATTTATTTATCTAATTGAAAGGTGAATTATAGAGAGGCAGAGGCAGAGAGAGAGCAGTCTTCCACCCGCTGGTTCACTCCCCAAATGGCCATAATGGCCGGAGCTGGGCCAATCCGACGCCGGGAGCGTCTTCTGGGTCTCCCATGCAGGTGCAGGGGCCCAAGCACTTGGGCCATCTTCTACTGCTTTCGCAGGCCATTGCAGAGAACTGGATGGGAAGTAGAGCAGCCAGGACTTGAACCAATGTCCATATGGGATACCGATGCCGCAGATGGTGGCTTTTACCCACTATGCCACAGTGTCAGCCTTCCGGCTATCCGTTTATTGAGAAGAAAACGCCCCCTCTGAAGGCAGGCTAATATTGTTTCCTGTTTAATGTGTTAGACATATCCTAAGATTGGGAGATATAAAAAGGTTGGAAATTAATCCCTGCATAGCAAGAGCTTAGTCTGTTGAGTAGTATGTAAACACCAAAAATAGTTACAGGCCCCAAAGCAACCCCGGGATAAGACAAGTATTAAGCAGGATGGAATTCACTGAGTTGGAAGGTTTCACGCATTCTCTGAATAACCAAGAAAAGAAGCTGCATCCCACTCCTCCAGTGCACAAGGCAGGCCAGAGGTAGCCTGAGCACCAGAGAACACTAGCCTCGACCTCCCGCCCCGCCAAAACACCTTCGAGTCTCTGATTCTCAAACTGAGACCCAAGGATGCCCATGGGGCGTCTGCAGCTTCAAGACTCATTTCTCCACAATTGCTTCCAGTTTGTCTGTGTCAATAATTTATTTTTATTTTATTTTTTATTTTTTAAATTTTTTGACAGGCAGAGTAGACAGTGAGAGAGAGAGACAGAGAGAAAGGTCTTCCTTTGCCGTTGGTTCACCCTCCAATGGCCGCCGCAGCCAGGGCACCGTGCTGATCCGAAGGCAGGAGCCAGGTGCTTCTCCTGGTCTCCCATGGGCTGCAGGGCCCAAGCACTTGGGCCATCCTCCACTGCACTCCCGGGCCTCAGCAGAGAGCTGGCCTGGAAGAGGGGCAACAGGGACAGAATCCGGCGCCCCAACCGGGACTAGAACCCGGTGTGCCGGCGCCGCAAGGCGGAGGATTAGCCTAGTGAGCTGCGGCGCCGGCCTCAATAATTCTTTTAAGTTACCATAAACACACTCTGAAGCATATTTTTAAAGTGGACATAACTATTGTGCAATTTCAGCCATCCCAGAGGTTCCTGAACAGATTCCCCAGGGCCTGGGAACATTCCCCATTATCGCACACCACCACCGAAGTGATGAATGTTACCCTCATTCCAGTCAATTCAAAATTCTTTCTTGTCGACAGACACTGGCCCAAAACTCTGAAACCCCATCCATTCTGCAAATGTAAGCACCTGCTCTGTGGGAGGTGCCAGCCTAGGAACCCTGGCCGGCAAGCCGGACAAGGAGCAGAAAGCTCCTGACAGACTAACTCAGTAACCAGCAGTTTCCTGTGGCCCAACCCTGCTGCTGCCTGCCACTAGAAATGTCACAGTCCTTCCCTGGAAGTCACCCTTTGCAAAAAAAACTTCATTTCCTGTAGGTCTCATACACAATGCGCTCTCAAATACGTGTGGAACAAGCAAGAATGCAACCTAGCAGGTTAGTGAGCGTCTTTAGAAGCTAACAGTCGGGGCCAGCACGGCAGCACAGGTATAGATGCCAGCCCCATACCAGAGCACTGACGTAGGTCCTGGTGCTCCGCTCCCACGCAGCTCCCTGCTAATGTGCCCGAGACACGGCCCAGCAATGCCACTGGGCAACAGAGCAAAGCCCACGGGGCCCAGCCTTGGCGCACAGCAGGTTCAGCTGTGATACTGCCTGTGATAGCGCAGCCCACATCAGAGCGCTGGTTCCCGCCCGGCTGCTCCACTCCTCCCACACAGTGCGAGACCCCGATGGCGCTGCTAGCTCCCGGATTAGGCTGGGTCACTAAGCCATTTGGGGAGTGAACCAGCAGATGAGAGATCTCTGTCACTCAACCTTCCAAATAAATAAATCTTTAAAAAAAAAAAAAAAGAGGCAACAAACTGATATCAGCACAGGAAATCAAAGGATTGACAAGAAATCGTTCTCTAAGTCACCTGGGTCCCTGGGGCATGGGGAACTCTCGTTCTGCCGAGGGTCATTTGGACGTTTGGATCATCATTTGCAGGCCATACCAACTTATCAAGGTAAACATCGCCCTGCTATAGATTCACTGAATCCGAGCGCACCTGTGACTGCCGCGGCAGGGCCAGAAAAATGATTTCACGGTCTTGCACAGTCCTCCACCCCTGAAGGGAACAGAGGAGGCCATGTAAGTGTCAAGCACCCATCATCTTTCTCTTACCGCTTTGCGCACAGCTCCTCCTTGGGAAGCGCTGGGCCGACACACTGACATCTGTGAGAGACACGACCACGCACTAGCGATGGATCCACAGAACGTCAGAACCACTTTCCAACGACTCATTGCAGCGCGGCGGACCTAAGGCGCTTCTTTACATACAGTCCCCCCAAGTTTACTCAGATTCACAAGCTACCAAACGTAAAAGCAGACTTCCCCGTAATGCATTTAGATGAAGACCACTGAAACCCGAGCTCCTTACGGGACCGCTGAAGGGATTAAGAGTCCACCGCACCCTGGGGTGCCGGCAGGCCCATCACGCGGCTTCGAGGAGGCTGGGGTGCAGGCCTGGTGCCCCCAACACACACTGGCCTCAGTGACGGTGACGCCGGGGGGCCGTGGGACCTGACCCGAGCTTCCCGGTCTGCAAAAGGGGACAACGCCACAGCCCCTCCCACGGCGGGCAGAGGCCGCCGCCGACACGCAGCGTCTCTCCCCGACTCAGCCCGCACACAGAGACGGCTACGCTGGGGCCGGCGGGGCCGACTGCGGCCGCCCGAGCGTGGTCAGCGCTCTGCCCGGCCCGGCAGGTGCCCCTAACTGAGTGGCCCCGGCCAGCGCGACTCCCCGCCCGCCGCAGCCAGGGCCTGGAAGGACCCCCGCCCGCCGCGACCTCCGCGCGGCCTGATCGTCCATGCCCCGGCTGGCCCAGGCTCAGGACCTCCAGGCGCCCACACGTACCTCCAGCCCGCCTGTCGCCGCCTACGGCCAGCAAAAACCGGGATCCGGGCCCGGGAGTCCAGAGCCTACCGGCCAGGGACGCCAGACCGCCGGCGCCTCACTTCCGCCCACCGCGAGCGCCGAGAGCGTCGATTCGCCAGCTAGTGGAGCGCCGAGTCCTCGATGGGCCGAGGGGGCAGGGCGGCGAGGCGGCGGCCCGGGGGTCCCTGGGCGCCGGTCAGCCTTGCGCTGCTGGACCCGAGCGGGCGCTGTCGTTGACCGGGGTTCATGAGGGGGCTTGCAGCCTCAGGGGTGCTGCACCTTCCGTCCTAAGAGGCTGTTGGATAACACTCAGTGCTTTCCTGTGGCGACAGTTCACAGTGGCCGAGCCGCCCCGAGTCGGGTGGTGGGGCTGCGCTGGGGGTCAAGGGGCAGCAGGGGGTCAGAGGGCGCGCTGTGTGGGTGGCCAGGGGGCAGCACCGGGTCCGAGGGGAGGCCGCCCCGGGCCTGGACAGCACGCCGATTCTAGGGGCCGCCTCGGGTCACGGGCAGTACAGCGGACGAAGGGGCTGCACCAGGTCAGGGCGTCCTGCGACGGCCTGAAGGCGGCCACAGGATAGGCCATGCTGGGTCAGGGTCAGGCGTGGGCTGAGGTCCCGGAGGCCAGGCCAGGGAAGCGGGAGGTGCGGGCCGGCCGCTGCCCCGGCGCCGGCGGCCCTGAGCTGGCGGGTGAGGGGGGCGGTCACGTCCCCCGGGGCCGCCGGTGGCGGTGGGCCGGTGTGCGGAGAGAGGGGCGGGAGTGTAACCGTGGGCAGCTGCAGTGGTCTGCGACGGGGGACCGGAGGACAGCCAGGGCCCGGTGGGACGGAGCGCGTTCCAGCAAGTGCGCGGCGTGGACCGCGGGACGCGGGACTGGGACGGGGAGAGGCCGAGGGAGAGCGGTCCGGGTGAGTGGGCTTGGGTTCACGTCTGGGCATTCGCAGTGCAATCGGACTTCCCAGTGAGGAGGCCGGGGCGGCTCGGGACGTCGGGACTGCGTGCACCTGTGTTTATCTTTGTAACTACGAGCTGGGGGGTGGTATTCATGCCATGGGTTGAGAGCGCCTGGGGAAAGGAAGCAGAGAGAGTAGGCCTAGGCACAGAGATGTCGGAAAGAGGAGGAGACGGAGGTAGACGCCAGTGAAAGAAGGAGCCCGGGAGGGAGGGGAGGCGGGAAGCTAAGAGAGTTCAGGAAAGAAAAGTGGATCCACTGATGTCAAAAAGTGCAGGGCGGGTGGCGCTGTGGCCTGGTAGGCTAAGCCTCTGCCTGCGAGCCTGCACCCCCTGGTTGGAGTCCAGGCTGCCCCACTTCCGATCCAGCTCCGCGATGGCTTCGGAAAGCAGTGAAAGATGGCCCAAGTGCGTGGACCTGGAAGAAGCTGCCTGCTCCCGACTTCGGATCTGCCCAGCTCCGGCCACTGGGGCCACCTGGGGAGTGAACCAGCAATGGAAGACCTCGCTCCCTCTCTCACTCTGCATCTGTAGCTCCGCCTCTCAAATGAATTTTTTAAAAGGTACTGGGCACAAGGACTTCAGAAACAATTGAATTTGACAGAAATACAGCCACTGGCATCCTTGGCAAGAGGAGTTTCAGCAGAGGGCAGGGTACCAGAGTCTCCTCAGAGTGGACAAAGAATAAAATACTACGCGAAGTGGGGAAAAAAGTAAATTTAGCCAACCTGGTTTTGCAATATAGCAAAGGAAAATATAATATGTCCAATTAAGGTTGAATTTCAAGTAAATAATGAACGATTGTTAGTATATTCCAAATGTTGCCTGGAGTATACTTAGGCTCAAACATCGTTTTAGTATGTTTTCAGTGTAAATATGTCCCAGTTCTCCCACGGAACATAGTCATATTGAAATATTATTCATTTTTATATGACGCTGAGATCTGACTGGACGTCTTATGTTTTTATTTGACAACCACTTTGAGGAATTTTGTGATGAAGGGGCTGATATGAGTGAGTTGTCCCTGGAGGGAAGACAGTGTTGAGGGAGAAGTTCCTTCGAAGATGGGAGCTGATTTGTGCTAAAAACAGAAACTGCAGAAGCAACAGAGGAGCAGGATCAATACCTTGAGCAGGTAAAGAGGGCAGGCTCTGTCGCCCAAGGGGGTGGGTTACCCTGAAAAAGAACCAGCAGGGTGAAGCAGAGCAGGAAGTCACAGTGTGGTGGGTTGGTAGACAGGGGGAAGAGTAAACAAGAAAACCTCATCTGGTTGCTTCTATTTGATTATTAAAAAGAGCCAGCAGAGGGGGCTGGCGCCCTGGCTCACTAGGTTAATCCTCCGCCTGTGGCGCCAGGTTCTAGTCCCGGTTACTCCTTTTCCAGTCCAGCTCTCTGCTGTGGCCCAGGAGGGCAGTGGAGGATGGCCCAAGTGCTTGGGCCCTGCACCTGTGTGGGAGAACAGGAGGAAGCGCCTGGCTCCTGGCTTTGGATTGGCATAGCTCCGGCCGTAGCGGCCATTTGGGGGGTGAACCAACAGAAGGAAGACCTTTCTCTCTGTCTCTCTCTCTCACTGTCTGACTCTATCTGTCAAATAAATAAAAGAGCCAGCAGAGTCATCCCTGAGCGTGGCGATAGGATAAGGGAGCCTAGAGAAGAGGTGAGGTTATTGCCTTGGATACGATGAGGCAAATGGGAAGTCCCCTGAGATGAGTGGCCCTACCTTTGAAGGGAAGAAGTCAGTCTGCTTGTGTATGTGTTGGCTGCTTCTGGTTTAGGTAGGGATTAGTAGAAAATTACTTGTAGCCAAGGCTGGAGCTTTACTGGGCACAGGAGTTGAGATTCTGGGTGGGGGTGACAAGGTTTTTAGGTGGATTTGGTGGATTGTCTGGCTACATGGGTGTGATCTGTCCCACTCTGCCTGAATTAATTCTGGTTTGTGTCTGTTGTCCTGGCTTAGTTATTAAGAGTGTCCCTTTCGCTGTTGGAAGTGTCCCTTTTCCATGGAGGCTCTCGGTGAGGAGCTCCAGGAGCAGGCAAGCTGGAAGCACAGGAGAGTTCCTTCCTCCAGGAAGAAGCCCCAGCGACGGCAGGCCGGGAGTTGCAGCTGGAACTCTGGCACGCCTGCTCTGGTGGCGGCTTGGAGGCGTGCTCTCCACGGCGCTGTGTCGTCCCGGGACAGCCGTGCTCCCGCTGCCTTGGGGGACACGCTTCCCCTGGATACCCTGAATGGCCTCCCACTCCCCGGCTCTGTTACTCCCGTCAGATACTAACCCTAGACGCTGGAAGGGAGCCAGCCAAGACTGCCCTTATCATAGACAAAGACAACCTGCAGGTTTTGTGATTCAAATATCTGAATGTGCTTCATTGCGCTCTGATTAGGGAAACAGATGGGGAAGGGGGGGAAGGCAGCGTCCTGTTCAGAGGCTTTGAGTCGGGGACTTAGCATGGGTTCACTTTCCTCTCCTCTTTGTCAAAGAATGTGTCCAAGTGTGGCTTTCCTGTGCAGTAACTCAGCTGTCCCCTGGATCATCCATTATAAAGAGCAAGGAGCAGAGACTTGGCAGTGGAGGTGGAAAGGAAGTAAGTGAGGTACACCCCCTTCACAGTGAAACTAAACCCTTTGGGTCTTAGTGACACGCCGTTTCTCAGGCTAAGTGATACCACCATTAAGCCAGGATGTATGGGTCTTGAAAACTCACAGATTTTTCCTGGATCAAAAAAATAACAAATAATACTGTATTCCTGAAACACAAACTCTCCAAGAGGAAAGAGACCCTTTTGTTAATATAAAGAACACTGGTGCTGTTTCTTTCTCTTTTCTTAAATTTCTGGTCCTGATTCTGAAGCCAGCTAGCAAACATTAGTGCAGTATATACAGAGGTTGGCAGCAAATAAAACCATTAAACCAAAAATTGCGGTAGGAGCTGTTGGGGCAATTAAATATTGCTGTATGGCTGTGTGCGTTCAATTCTGCATCAAATTTCATTTGACCTAGGGAGAGAAAAAAATGACTTTGAAGCATGAAATCTCTTCGGAAACATTTAGTCTCAGGAAATGCTGTGAGACAATGAGAGACACAATTCTAGGGTCTTTTAATATGTTTTCCCTTTGCCTTAATTCAACACTTTAAGTATTTTGTACACTTAACTGCCAGATCAGTTTGTACTGGACCATAATTAGCACGAAACCTAACTCCCAGAGCCACCACAGTTTGCCGCATCTTAGTGATCCTTTTCACCAAAGACCGCTGATTGTTCTGCCGACTCCTAGTCCACATCCCTCACCTCCTTGCTGCCATATTCCTTGTTGTAGGTACCACGGGATCTTGTGTTGCGGTTACTTGGTACGCTGGGCTGACCAGACAGAATCTGTCAGCGGATCACTGTCTGTTTGCTCTTTTGTTCACTAGGATGGAGGCCGTTTGAGCGGAGGGACTTTGTATCGCCCGCTCACATCTTACACAGTGTTGGTGCTGCATTGAATGAAAAACTTAAGCAAATTTAAGAATACATTATGATCAGAGCAGAGTTGGGAGAAATGTCTGTTTCAAAAATACACTGAAGGACCACTTAAAGGCACAAGACCATCTGCACAATTTGATATGCAAATCTGGACAGTGTATTTGTGATTAAGATGCTTTGTCATCCTTTACTGAAGCCTGTCATGTCTCAAGATCACAAG